ATTTATAATTTTTACTTCAATTTAGTTTTTATTAAAAAAAGAAAAAAAGATAAAAAAAAAACAAAGAAAATAAGAAGCCTCAGTTGCATTAAATTGTTAGTTAATTATATTTTAAGTGATTCAAGTGATTTACAAAGCATAATTATAGTTCAACTCATGTAACAAATAGATATACATATTTACATGTTTCAGTTTATACGATTATAAATCAAACCATATCCAAATCTAGCGGTTTTTATAAAATCACATACATTCGGTGTGTATGGTATATACCAAAAATAACCATATTATCGATTGTGTTAATATCTTTAAAAAATAGAAAATTAAAAAAAAAGAACTAATATATTTAAATCATTGATAACAAAAAATTTCAGTGTGAAAAATTGAATACGTTTATAATTTATAAATGTTCTTGAAAATTCATTGAAATTTTTGAAATTAAAATAAGTATGTAATATTATATGGTATATAGTTTAATCTATATATATATATATATTTTTTTTTTTATTATTGAATGATACTTTTTACTCATATGGATTTAAAATCATGTGTATCATTTTATAATAAAAATGTTAAACTATTGATCATTAATTTTTAACATAATAATTTTAATAGTTTTAGTCATTTATTCTTGGTTTTCTTAAATTCAAAATATAACATATACGAAAAAAATCTAAAGTTTAATTTTATAGCTAATTTGATTGTTTGATTTATTTTAATAAATATAAAATTAAAGAAAAATGATGGAGGAGATACAAATTGTTATCAAATATTTATTATTAGAAACATTAATTGTCATATATATATTTGTCATTTATGGTAATTCCGTAGCTTTTATTTAAGGAAAGAAAATAAAATAGTAATTATATCTAGCAGGACAATCATAAATGCTTCTATCATAAATATCATATCATATAATTTGACCAACAAATATATCTAGCGACATATAAAAATCGAGTGTGGACCTACTTATTTTTCAATTGAATGTAATTGACTACCTAATTGAGTGACACGTAAGCATGGACTCTTTTTTAATTATTACAAAATTGAGGTTACAATTTTTCAAATGTTTCTCAATTAATATATAGGGGATTAAAAATCAACAATGTAAAAGAGAAAATTGCCTAGAATAGTGTATATGTTTTTCAGAATAAAAATTTGTAGTATAATCATGTAGTTTCCTTTTTATAAAGAAAGAATATATTTTACTTTTAATATCCTAAGATTTCAAATATAAAGAAAAGTTTATTAATTTTAAATTTATATAAATGGAAAATTCGTTTTCATTAAATGACATGTGTCAAACATATTAATTTATTTCATTTTAAGAGTAAAAATATTATGTTTTTATACAAAATTCCTTTTTCAGAAATTTATTAATAAAAATGAAAATATTTATAGATACTAGATTTTATATAAAATTTATTTTTTATAACAATTTAATCATAATATGAAAGTATTTAAAAGAAAAATAAAATAAAATATTAATAATTGCAATTATAATAATAAATTTAACTCATTAAAATCAATGTAAGTTAATATAAGCGCGACATGTAAAAAATAACTTCTCAAATAGTATTATAGAGATACATTTTTAAGAGTCAAGTAACATTCGTAATCTTTATAAACTGACTCACTCTTAAATTTTCCTCTCCTTTATTTTTTTCGTCTTTTTCTCTTTTTGTTCATACCATCAGAATTTTTAACCCAAATAATTAAACAATGCACAGGGAATCAGATGCCTATATATGGATAGAACATGGACTTGACAATGAAATTGCGAGACATCAATTTGGTTAAAACATACGGTATAAAGGATATTTTATGTGCCTAGGGGTAGAAATTTTTTTGTTTTGTGTGAAACATATTAGGCACACATGCTTTCACAAAAAAAAGAACAAAAATACTATTAGGAACACTATAAGCATGCAATCAATAATTTAGTGCAACTAGATAAATCAATTGTAATTTTTTGTTCGCAACATGAACTAGATATAAAAAAATGCTAATATGGTAATGAAAGTAACTGATGTAGTGATCTAAAACAGGGTAGCTGCTAGTTGGGTAGTAGGGGAACTTTCAACATCATCTTACACATCATCATAATTAATATATTCGGGGCCATCCCTAGATTATCCCACGTCAAACACCTGAGCGGTCCATGATGTTTTCCTTTGATCCAACATTGCTGATGATTTTATTGGGAGGGATATCCAACTGAAACGACAATATAAGAGTGTTGATAGAATTGGTGACGCTGAAATTGGTGGATATGCAAGTAAAAACCAATGAGAAACTTGGTTGATGGGTTGGAGGAGGATGAGACGTCCCAGTTTCTCTGATAATTATACCCCACATGATGAGTTTGTTAACGAGGTAAAACAGTGTTTAATTTTCAACTTGATTTGGTAAAGAAATACATGACAAATGATCTTCTAGGTGGATGAAATGGTGGATCGAGGACCTAAGTTCACGAATTCAATGGCTCCTCAACCTGAAGAAGTCACTATGAAAACACCGGCATCAGAACCAAATGTTTTGGAAGAGGATGAGGTGTACAATAGTTCATTTTTGTGTTGATTAAATTTAGTCGTTATGTGTTGATTAAAAGCTGTTTTTGATAGATGTAGAGCAAAAGTTAATTATGTCGATTAAAATATGATTTTAAAATCGAATACAGTTGAAAAGGGGCCTTTGTCAGGGTTAAAGTTTTAGCACATGAGGTTGTAAAGACAACATTTTTCATAGCCTTGTGAGAGGAGAAATCTTCGCTCTTGCAGCTGCGTTTGCGGTGGCGTTTTCGGTTTCTCTCTCTCTTCAAAGTCTTCTCCACTTCCCTTGTCTCTTCAAAGAAGCCTTCAAGAGTAAGAAACTGAGGTGGTTCCAAATCCTCTCAGATCTCCTCCGTGAGTCTGTCCCTGGCTAGGTTGATAAACGAGGGGTCATCTGCTTTCCCTACTTTGTCGTAGATAATATCCTCATATTGTAAAATAGACATAGATCCCTGTTTGATAGGTGACATCTTCAGAAATTTTAAAGAAAGAAAAATCGCAGGGAAAAGTTAAAGAGAAATAGATGAAATGATAAATCGGAATGCGGAAATAAATAGTAAATAAATGGTGTGACGATCAATTACAACTCCTTGATAAAAGAACACAGTTTTTTATTTATTTATGTATTTATTTTCTTATCCGTTTTGAAAAGATCCTATAACTTCCAGTAACATTTATTCCTCTAACATTTAATAAACCATAAGTTTAAGTTCGAACTAATAAGTGTATGTATCTTTTTGTGTACACCAACAATGAGAGACATGACGGAAGACATTTAAGTCTCCAAACACTAGTAATTATTTTCAGTAGAATAATTTTATAAAATATTTTCATTGTCAGTATCTAGCGTTACTGCTTTCTTCTCGAGGGCACTTCGTAATAATTATTAGGTCACTCAAGTTTAGTTTTTTTTTTCTAATTAATAATGATGACAGTTATAAATATTTATAATTTTATATCTTAAAATTTTTTTTGATAAACTTTTAAAAATATATTTAGACAACAAAAAATATAATTTAAAATTTTATATTTAGACAACAGATATTATAAAACTTGATGTATGATTTATAATTTTGTATATTAGTGTATGATTTATAGTTTTGATATTTATTCTTAAAAACCTTTTAATGAAATAGCATGACAAGTCCATTCATTTCCTTTTGAGTTTGTTAAAAGAATGAGAGATTTGATCATTCGTCTAATATTTATTTCTCCATAATATTCAATGTAGCTATTATAATTTATCCGAACAAGACTTATGATCTTAGTACTTTGGGATTTGGTTTTAATCTTAACCGAACCAAAATCCCAACTAGATCCGAAGATATCTAAAATTAATATAATATGTTAATATACTTTTATATATCAAGGTAATTTATATATTTTATTCTATTCCAAAGATTTTTGTAGTTTGTTTTATTTTTTTATTTTGAATATCATTTAGTTAGTTTAGATTAGTTTAACTAATTTAAAATTAAATTTATGAATTATTTAAATATTTCGTCAATTTTGAGGTTTCAAAAATATTTTTTGTGACGATTTCAGATTCTGGTTACAATTCAATCCAAATCAAATCTGGAAGGAACAACTAATCTGATAATTAGTAAAACCTGAATGGGTTTGAAAGCATAATACCAAAAATTTGAAAATCTAAATCAAACGAACCAAACCCGGCTGATCCCCAAATACCCAGACATATGATATACTTAATAGATCAACATTTGTATTCGTTATTTTACAATTGATATAATCGATAAAAAATTATAGTGTTACAAGACGTTAAAACCAAACAAACATTAATATAAAAAAATACATCCCGCGCATGTGCGTAGATATCACCTAGTATTTATTATTAAACTTATCATAATTGTCTAGGCGGTTTAGAAGATAATAGCTACGGTCTTATAAAGCTTAGCGTTTAAGCGGTTACCTAAACCGTTTTCTTGAACACTGAAAAATATAAAATTACTTTAACTTAAAATTTAATTACTAAACTTAAGATTTAACATTAATTTTATCTTAATAAATTTGGATTTGGTGCTTGCGGAAAGAAATATCCAAGACTGTCATAAAAATCTGGATTTGGTTAGTTTGACCAAAAAGGTCCAAATTATTGGAAAGTTATTTTGTTAAAGAAAGAAAAAAATCTGGCTTTCAGAAAGTTATGGTAATCTATCAAATATAAGATTTAACTCTTGTATTCAAATAATTAATTAAAGAATATTACTTTTAAATAAATTTATTGTAATTATGAACAATAAATTTTAAGATCCTTTAATATTTAATAGAGATATGTTAAATATAATGAACAATAATACTTAATTTTAGTAAAATATTTAAAATCAATTATTGGATAATAATGGATAACAGAATTGTAATTGTTGTAGTAATCTTTTATTTATAACAAATTTTGAAGATAGCTAATGATGCAATCGAAGGACAAATAAAATGGGTCTGTTAATACCTGGCTTGCTGAATGACTTAGCAGAGTTGTGCCTCTCGCGCATCCCGCGTTCTGAGTGTCGGATCATTTCTCAGGTGTGCTGGCGATGGAGGAGATTCCTCAGGAGCAAGCATTTTGCGACCGCTCGAAAGATGACTGGTTCGGTGGAGGAATTTATGTGCGTTCTTGTGGATGACATGTACTGGGAAGTTTTCGACGGCACCGGTAACAAACTGGGACGAATCCCTCCCGTCCCTGGGCCTTTGAAGTGTGGTTACGGCCTTGCAGTGCTCGATGACCGGAAGATCGTGTTCATTGGTGGAAAATATACGTTCCGCCAATCGAAGGTCCGTGGGTTGAAGGTCCGACGACCGCATGAGGCCCGAGAATCTTTGTTCACTAACGATGCTTTGGCCAATGTTTACGAGTTCAATCCAGCTACTAACAGGTCTGAATCTATCTGATCAATTTGTGACATTATGTCCATCATGTTTCTTGAGGATTCTTAGAGTTTTTTTATTAAGTTAGATGAAGGACATGTTCGTTTCACCATCCAGATGGATTATCTGGATGGGCATGAGATTTTCGTTTGTTTCGACTTACAAATTATCTTAACAATCCATCAAGATGGATTTTAAAATTTTAGCCTAAAATTAGACTCATCGAGATAGCTCATTGATATGAATTTAATTGGTACATATGGATGGGGATGAACATGTCCAAATAATAATATGAACATTTTCTGTCAAAACAATAAAAATATATTTTCTTTTTGTCGGAACCGCCAAAGCCGCATTTTTCGCCAATACCATAGACACATATTTTTCGTGAAAAAGAAGTTTCGCCAAAACCAAAAAAAAACTCACTTTCCAGCCAAAACCACAAATATGCATTTTCCGTTAAACATGAAAACACATTTTCTCGCGAAAACTTTAAAATCGTACTTTCCGCCAAAACTGCAAAACGTATTTCCACCAAAACTGTAAAAATACTTTTTCCGCAAAATACGTAAAAATACAGTTTCTCACCAAAATCCCCAAGAACACATTTTCCCATCAAAACCGTAAAACGCAGTTTCTGCCAAACTGCAAAAACAAATTTACTGCCAAAACAGCTAAATTCATTTTCCCACCAAAACCGTAAAAATATATTTTCTGCCAAAAACAAAAAAAAAATGAAGTTTCCGCATGAACTCCAAAAGCAAACTTTTCCGCCAAGAGCGTAAATATGTATTTTACGTCAACCCCGCGGTTAGAAATTATCGATCGTCAGATTGATTAATTCTTAAATACATAGAATTGATCACCGAGTTCCGGGCCTCAAATCAATAGGTCTCGGGTGGTAACTGCTCTCACAACTTCTACTATTAATAAAGGGTTTACACAAATGATTCAAACACTCTCTTGTATAAAACATGACTCCAAATGAAAACACAACAAAGAATAAGAAATATCAAAGAAACTATTATGCGAGACATGATTCCAACAATGTCTCTTCCCTAAATTTCTTCTATCCTGATCTTTTCCTAAAACTTTCTCTTTGTTCTTGTGTTTGCGGTTCCTCTTTTGTCTCTCGGATAAATTAAAGTTTTCAGTGATGCCTTCTGTTTATAATACCTATGGTCAAAATGCTCATATTCCCATTTATCTTTGTAATGTTTTTGACCAACATTAACATCAAAAGGGAAAATAGCTGAACGTTAGTTTTGTTCTAGGCAATGTTTCTTATACGGGATGGAGTTGAGCTAGGATTTGGAATTAGCCATATTTTCTTAATAACTGCAAAAATGAACTTCCCGTCCAAGATGTAGTTTCCGCCAAAACCATAAAACACATTTTTTTATCAAAATCACAAAAATGTATTTTTCCACTAAAACCACAAAAACGTTTTTCCGTCCAAAACTGGAAAATCACATTTTCTCGCAAAATCGCAAATTCATTTCCTGCCAAAACTAAAAGATTATGGTTTTCTCTAAAACCGCAAAAATATATTTCCCAACCAACCAAAACCATATTTTAAAATAATTATATTTTGATTAATCAATAAAAATTAATATAGTTAAAAATATGATTAAATAATAATAAAGATGTATAAATCATTTGCTTACGAAACTCATCCAGATGAAAATATAGATGAACAAACAAACAGATGATACATCCAGGAAAATAATATCCAAATGAATCATTTGATTGGATCATCTAAGTAGATTATCTAAATGGATGATGAAATATGGACAAACGAATAGCACCAACGTTCAAACTTAAAATCAATAGGTGATAAATATCTTACTTAAATCTTCAACTGCTGATATGGAAAACTTTATCTCTAATAGTTTTCTTGTTTTAATAAAAAAATACAGGTGGAGAAAACTGGCAGACATAAACATACCACGTCACAACTTTGCATATGCTGTAGTGGAAGGCCTTTTGTATGTGATCCGAGGCTATTCTGCAGATGATGTTAGCATTCTCAATGCGGAAGTATACAACCCTAAAACTAACAAATGGAGCCTCATGGATTGTCCACACCGTCCAGACTTTCGTGGCTTCGCATTTTCTTTCAACTCCAAACTCTTCGTTGTAGGTGGGAATAATAAGAACTGTGCATATATTACATAGATTCTGAGTTAGACATTTTTTTTTCTGAGTTAAACTTTATTACATAATTTGATGATCATCATCATTTTCAGGAAATGGATCAAATTTCATTGACATATATGATCCCAAAACGGAGACATGGGAAGAGTTAGACTCGGGGCAAACACTGGATGTATACTCCTACACTGTTGTTAAGAACAAAGTGTATTTCATGAACATGAACATGCCCGAAATGGGAGTGTTTGATCCAGAGAAGAATTCTTGGAGTTCGGTGGATGTGCCTCCGAATCGTTTCAGGTTGAGACTAGGGAAATGGAACAATACAGTTATCCTGTTTAAACCGGAAATTCAATATGAGGTCTTAAGTCATGACCTTGATAAAGAGGACGAGGCCAAGTGGAGAAAGACACCGATTAAACTATCTGGTTTTGACGCCACCAGTGTTCTCATCAATATTTGACTTTGCAAAATGTGTGTAACGTTTTGGAGCGATCTCTCTGTGTTTAAGTCTGTTGATGTTTAATTTTATGATTTATTTCCTCTGTTTATCTTTGCATTCAGAACTAATAACCTTTAAAAAATGAAGAACTTATATAATTACCATTATAGGAGTCATTTACTACTTACCTAGTCTAAGGTTGCTAAACTTCAGAATACAATATTTATCTATCTTTCCTTGTATCTTCCCCAACCAATCTTAAAGATTCTCTGTTGATGAAACAGAGAATAGCTAAAAGGATTCAAACTCCTCATCTTGATGAGGAGGAAAGTTGTGAGAGATAGCACACTTGCACAGTAGCAAAACTATTTTATTTTTCTGTCCACTTTTCAAGAGCTTTTCAACTATATATATATATATCGTTCTATATATACAGAGATCCAAAAAAGTCAGCTCTATTAACTCCCACATCTGCTTCTTCATTTTCTTTTCTAGGAATCAAGCCAAAAAGAAATGTTAACGTATCTCATGTTGCAGCATTGGGGCTTCCCAAATCTCTGCAGCTTATCCCACATGCAAATCATCTGCCGTGGCGACTGATAATGAGTAGTGAAGTAGTCTTCTATACATCCAAACTGGCAGAACCTGAGGCTGTGAATTGTTGGGAATGTCCTAAAATCATTTGTATTTACTCCTGTTAAAGTTGTAATGTCGAGATTGACAATCATATAATATTAGGTGGCTATAATGTTTTGCTAGAAACCGCTTATAATCTATGAATTAAGAATTCATTGCTAATATTATATGATCCTATAAGATCACACACCTGAACAAACTGAATAATAAATATGTTGGAAGATATAGTATATATATATATATATATATATATATATACTATATCTATATATAATGTTGGGGTCAAAATCGGTACGACGGAATCAATGACCAAAACTTTCCGCAAAAATAAAAATACATTTTATAAAACTCGATAAGTCGTTTTATAAAATTCTAAGAAGTTTCCTAACTAAGGAAATCCGCGGAAAACTTGGAAATCGTTATCTCGGAAGAACGAAACAAACACCCATTACACGACCGCCCGAGTTAAGCACAAAACCGCGAAAAACCGCATCCGCCGTAAACGCGAGCAAGTTCGACCAAACCAAGTTTGATGTACGACGAGCCGAACCAACCGGTTCACCTCGCCGTACGGAGAGCTGGTTCGGCAAAACTAGGAAACGATGGCAACATTAACTCACTTATGTAAAATACTGGATGCATTAACTCTTAAGGTAAGGGTGTTAAGTTTAAAATGTTTGGTGGAACAATAACTTTTGTATTAAACTCCCACGCCTTCTTTATGTCAATCCTCTATATAAGTTGGTATTATCAATGTTCTCTAAACTCAATAAAGAACAAGAACCCTAACCACTTGCAAAAATTGTATGGCAGGTCAAGCACTCCCAAATCTTCCCAATGAAATTCTGTGCAAAATCATCGAGTATGTTGGAGTGGAATCATTTTACAACCTTGGTGGATTCTTGCAAGCAGGGAAACACAGTCAAATCGGCCACGATGGTCAGTTTCACCAGTTATTTTTCAAGTGCGTTAATGCCGGCAACATATGGACAATCTACTATAAAGGTGTCCATGCAGCACCGATCTTAAGGCTTGAAGATAGTATTAAATTATTGGAACCAAATGTGCCTAGCCATGGATTATCAACTTTAGCAGTGGGCACATTCAACGTTTGTCTAAGCAACGACACGGAAGCCAACAAAGTGTTCCAGCACTTCGCAGCCTACCACCACTCACTTGAGTCGGACGTGATACTTGAAATGGGAGATGCCCTTGAGTGGCGCTTGTTATCGTTTGAGCACCAAACATGAACGGATATTTTGGAGCCTTCAAGTTTCCAGATGATGAGGTCATAAAGGAACCAATATGCCTTTATGGCCATGATTTCACAGTCGATTTCGAAGGTAGTTGCAAAAACTGCAAACTCTTTTGGATCTGCTGCAACATTTCTCACATGCTCTAAAAGTTGGCTTACCAATGTCTTTGGGTTTTTTTCAATGTCTTTGATTTTCGTCTATGTTATCGTTGTTGTCTTCTTTTGCTAACTTCCTAGATTATTATAATGCCTAATTATTTTTAAATAATTGTGTAGTGACTAATCGGGTACATATTTAAATGGTGTACAAGATTAATTGTACACCAGATCTTGTACACCAGTTCGTGTATACCAAATATATTTCACACCGAGCTTTGTACACAACTAAGAAGCAGTACTTCTTTTATAAATCAAATGATGGCCCATTAATAATTAGAATGGTGGCCCATTATAAAGTCAAAAATACTGGCCCATTATAACTGACCATTATAACTACGGCATTATTATATCATTTTTAAATAATTCAGTATAGTAACGAAAGTTATTTTTAATTATTATGTAGTGGCTAATCGGGTACATATTAAAGGATGTACGGGATTAACTGTACATTGGATCTTGTACACCAGTTCGTGTATACCAGATTTACTGCACACCGAGCCTTGTACACAACTGAACAGCATCATTCTTTTTATAAATCAAATGATGGCCCATTATAACGTAAAAAATGATGGTCCATTATAGGTATGGCAATATTATATCATTTTAAAATAATTGAGTAAGATAATTCAACAATGCAATAATTCATTTTTATAATTCAATAATTATATGTTGACGATATAATTCTGTTGTTTCTTCTCTTTAGCCATTTAATACAAAATCGGAAGTAGTTGTGGATTTGTTCCCCTGGTCCTTTAACTGTCTTTTTATTGATCTAACCTCTAAACTCAGTTAATAATATTAATAAATAGTAAAATTAAATGAAACTTGATTCTGACATTGAGTAGACTTTGTAACTTTTATTCTACGGTGAATATTTATTAGTGTTTGAACTAAAATGCTTCTCCTCGTCTCTCTCATAGTTGGTGTACGCAAGATACGTACACTTATGTTTATTTTATTAAAGGAATAAACTTTTGAATTAAATGTCTGACTTTAACAAGAAAGTTTTCTACTTTCTACTCGCATGGTTTCATGAGATGGGTTTTCAAATAAGTAGTAAGCCTTTTTTCGAAAAAAATAGTAGGTTTTTCTACAAATAAAAAAAGATCAGTTTGGTTATAATGAGGAGTTGCAATTGAACGCCACAACGTTCTTTTACTATTTAGGAATATACTAATTATCGCATTTCGATTTTTTGGTATTTTGTATCATAGTTACTAATTAAAGTCTGAAATTGTCTTAACTTATAGTATGAAAATTAACCTAATACAGAAATCTTAATACCCTAAATTGTATACCCTAAACTCTGAAAGCCCAACTCATGGTATTCATGCAAGGAAAACTCTTACAACACGAAACTATAGCACAACTGAATGAAATTTATCTGATATAAGGCTTAGAATGTTAACAGTTAGAGGTGTACACTTCAGAGGTGTACACCAGGGCTGTACATCAACATTACCTTAAACATTTGACAGAGGGAATAAACTTAAATCATAGTATGAAACTATGAAAAATAACCTAATCCAGAAATCATGAATCCCTAAATCATATACTCTAAACTCTGAAAGCCCAAATCATGGTAATTCATGCAACGAAAACTCTTACAACACGAAATTATACCACAACTGATTAAAATTTATCTGATATGAGATTTAAAATGTTAACACTTAGAGGTGTACACTTTAGAGGTGTACACTAGGACTGTACACCAGCGTTATCTTAAACATTTGACAAAGGGAATGAACTTAAATTGATAATAAAATCTGAAATTGCGTTAATTTATTGTATGAAATTATGAAAAATAACCTAATCCAGAAATCCCAAATCCCTAAATCAATACCCTAAACTCTGAAAGCCCAATTCATGCAACAAAAACTCTTACAACACGAAATTATACCACAACTGAAGAAAAATTATCTGATTTAAGGCTTACAATGTTAACACTTAGAGGTGTACACTCAGAGGTGTACACCTAGGTTGTACACCAGCATTACCTTAAACAGTTGACAAAGGGAATGAACTTAAATCATGCTAATTCATGCAATGAAAACGTTTGCAACACGAAATTATATCACAACTAAATGAAATATATCTGATTTAAGGCTTAGAAGGTGAACACTTAAAGGCGTACACTTCAGAGGTGGACACCTTAGTTGTACACTTACGTTGTACACCAACGTCACCTTAATCATTTGACAAAGGGAATAAACTTAAATCATAAATAAAGTCTGAAATCATAAATCACATTCTGTGATAAGACATATATTTTCAGAGTGTGTTATCACACAAAAAAAAAAAGAGAGAGATTTTCTCCATAACACTCCAAATCCCATCATGGTATCGGTTCTTTACATCGCTTTTTATTGTGTCATGTGTTGGAACACCGACTACACTTGTTGGGTTTCTTTTTTTTCGGCCCTTCCAAATATTTGAAGATCATGGACCGCTGTCAATTAAAATGCGCTAATCAACAAATAAACTGTTTTATTAAAATTTATTTTTGTTATCGGCATCTCTCATGCAGATCGCTTACGTTTAGTAGGTGGACGTCCTGACAGTCTCTTTATCTTTGGTGGGAAAAGCACAAGGTCAGCTACTTCTGCCGGTACGAACACATCTTTCAGATTTGGAGCCGGGAGTGTAAACCCTTTCGTTGTCTTATCCCAAGTCCCTTTCAAATAGATGTATGCAACAAATTTTGATTTCTGTAAATCCTGAAATAGTGTTGGAGCAATTGCATGACGGCATGGTATTTCTATTTTCTTGGAATTCAAGACATGTGCAAGTTCGTTTTTCCAGATTAACACAGCTCCCGTATCCGGTGGTTTTCAGCGTACCCTCAAATTCCCAAGAAAATAGAGGCATCACATCATAAGCTTTTGCGGCTATAAGATTCTCATTTAATCGCTGGTCAACTGCAGGTGGGATTTCACCGGGTCATTCTCGGATTTATTCTCTGTTTACTCAC